TCAACTCCCCCCTTTAAGCGTAATGAAATTTACACCTCGCTAATAAGCGATTATTAATTTTCTTTCATAATTATTTTCAAATACCGAGAAAATCACGAGTGGAATGAGATGCCGTTGTGCCCAACTGATGACTTTGGGGAACTAAATAAATAAATTATTTTTGGCGTCACGTAACAATAAAAGTGCCCCCCCCCCCCCCCCGCATTGCTGAACTGTTGCGCCGATAATGCCCCGTCACATTTACGGGGACATCAGAGGAGCCAGAAAGTGGTGGCACCAAATGAAACCCAAAGTCCCTGACTTGTAGGTGGTGCCCAAATTGAATCAATTACAGCGGAGAGACAATCTGCCAGCGCAATTCAAATTAGCGCCATCAATCACACCACGTGGCCGAGCCTTTGCGAGGGCACGTCGCAAGAAACCGGCATTCTCACTTAACCCGCGGTGCGCTGGCCTCCGATGGAGTAGTTTAACGGCCCTCTGCGTGCCGTTCCACTGCTGGATGATGGCCTCACCGAACGGCGTTCGTCATACAGTGTGGACTATTGAACTTCTTTCGCACCGTACCTAGCCAACCGCCGTGCTCATCGGAGTGTGCGGGGTGGAAGGGCAACAAACTAAACAAACAAATAAGTATAACCCGTAAAAACAAAGTATTTCACTATACATCCTTTATATGCGTGGCGGCTAGAGTCCTCTCGTCCTCTGGCTTGAGATGGCTGCCACCCATGGGTCAGATGATTGTCTGCCAGTATTAAGCAATTGATAATTAAATATTTAATTTGTTTTCCCTAAACAGTGTAAAATTTTGGGAAAAAAATTTCACGAACATTAATTGTCTCGCACAACGAGTCTGTGTGCAAAATGTCAGCTCGATTGGATCACGGGAAGTGGGTTAAAAAACTACCGAAATATTTGCACGGTCGTAAGCAAGCAAGCAAGCACGCAAGCACGCAAGCAAGCAAGCAAGCGAACTTAATATAAAGGATTTTAAAAAAGCACAGATCTAGAGGTAAAACCTTTGACCTGACACTTCAGATGTATGTCACGGGGGAGGTATTTGACCATACTTCTCCACACTGTTCGGTGTGGGATGGTTGAAGCGTTGAGCTCGCCACTGATGCGAGCCAAATTGAAATCAGGTGGCCGGGATCATAGTGAGCTAACCACTGTGCCACCGATCGTTCCTAATTTTTTATTCCAAGAAGTTGTGTTGGTGTTTTCATATTCAAAGACAAAGATCCCCCCATATAGCCTAAAGCAGACTGTCGGGGAAAGTGCTATTTGCGAGCACCTATGAAGACCCGCACGGCACACGAGGGGGGTGGGCGGCCAGAACCACGCCCGACCGCCTTTGTCTCCCCAGTGGCGAAGTTTACACACCGCACAAGTTGCTCATTTGAAGCTGAGTCGATCTAGGAGAGGCTCAGGACTGGTTCAGATAATCATCACTGGTGTTGGCCGTGAGCGGGAATCGAACTCGGGTCGTCGGGTTTGTAGTGCAGCCGGCTCATCACTACACTACCACTGATCCCATACATGCACACACACGTACGTACACACAGTCACATACGCAGTATAAGCTAATGCAAAAAATGGTCAACGTTATAGGGCTTTTGGTCTAAATGATGTATTGACTTTTAATGTTTCTACTTATCAAGAGTGCTATATTTTTTATATTGAATCTATCTGGCCACTGAATCACGAATCATTTCCACACACGCGTGTACGCACGCACACATCACTCACTCACGCCCATTAAACATATTACAATATGCTTGGAAATTCCCACACCTATCAAATTACAATGATTAAATGCAACAATGGAGCTAAATCTAAACCACAGTAAATAATCATCCGCTAAAGGGCTTGGGTGTGGATGTGTGCCCCACTTGGTCTTGAGAATGCCAAGGCTCAAGGGTCAACCTTCAGATTGCCGAATTTTAATTCACTTTCCTGAATGGCGCTGTGATTTGTTTTTATTCATTTCACAAATTAGCTTCAAATGAGAGAAGAGAGGATGAATTGAAGTGCCCGCTTTAACCACGCTATGCCAAAAGTCCATCTCATAGCCCAGTTAGACGCCTCCCTTTAAATAATAAAAGGGACAAAAAAAAGTTTCCCCAGTCCATGACTCGAGGTCAATTTTCCGTTGCGGGGATGACGCCGGGGTGATTGACGTGCTGGGCTGAGTCTGGTTATCCAGCAGGACCAGTGGAGGGAGGGAAAAAATAAAATAAATGAGTATTTTCTCTGGCACCGACTTCCAGTTTTGATAAATGTAATTATTGAGACTATTTGATGGGAGATATATGTATATATAATACAAACGTACATACGCACGCGTGCATGCATTTTAAACGTGGGCAGTAATCCAGACAGAAAGTGCCCTTGAGGTCCTCAGAAGTGCGTTGCGAGCGGCTTATGTGTAATATATATATATCTCATTGCTCGCAATTACGGTCAAAAACTTTGCAGAGGACTTGTGATTCTCCACTAGGTTAGGAATACCGGCAGGGATGCAGTGGCCACTCCACCAATGAATTGCTCCCACGCAAGGCCATAGCCATGGAGTCAACATTGAGGGGGGGCAAATCTTCTAGGGGGTGTGGGGGTCCCCCCCCCCCCCCCCCAGAAAAAAATCTAAATTTGAAAAGAATTTCCTGACATTTCCTGCCTAAAATATAAAAAAATAATCACGAACAGATAGGATGGACTTTTTTTTACAATAATGTCTAATAGTGTATTGTATTACATTGCTCTGTTTTTTCTATTTTTTTCTTTTCTTGTTTCGTTGTATGTAATGGCAGAGATTAGGGATTAATCAAGTACAACCATAATCACAATCACATACACAGAAATCTATTTTATAGCAGTATATTGGGGGGGGGGGCATTTTCAGCGTATTTGAATATTGTGTCCCCCAATATATATTCTAATTACGGCCTTGCTCCCACGTATGCCCCATCGTTTTCGACGTGTGTGTGTCTACGTCGCTGTTCTACTAAAATGTAGAGCTTACTTTCACCTGTGCCTCGCCGTTTCATCTTAGAATTGCACTGATTTGTTTTGTTTGACAAGCGCACGTTTTGCTCACGACTGTTATTCACCCCGTCTTTTGCGAGTTGTACAATATTCCTTCAAGACCCCCGTACTCATTCTTTGCAAAGTCGCGATGTCTTTTTTTGTTTTGTGTCTTTGTTGCCGCTGTTGCTGCTGTCTGCCTGCGGTGGCTCACGCAGCACCACGGATCTCCCATGGGTATAATGGCAGGGCAGGATGGCTACACGGGACGATCATCCGTGTCACACAAAAAAATAACGTAAAACGTAACAACTTTTAAATTAGTTGGAGATCCATTCAAAGAGAACAGCGGGTGGATGGTCTTGAAAGCGGAAAAAGCCAGACAGTTACTGCATTTCAAAATGGTAATAGAACCACACCAACAACAACACAACGCCATCGCATTATTTTATGTGTTGCCCATTTACTCATTACCCACTTTTATCCCTTGCCGAGTCATTAATTACCCACCTCTTACCATTAACATTTCACTATTCGCCCACCTACCTTTGTAGCCCTCGCCTGCGTTTGAAATCCACTCGGCGTAGGGCAGCAGAGCGGAGTGCCGGTATCAGGCATGTTCTCTGCTCACCCGAAGTCCGCTCAGCCGCGACAACCAGTTCAAGTTCAAGTTCATTTATTAGGTATAGCCCTGTGAGCCATTCGGCTCTTGAATCGGGTGCAACCGCAACAAACAAATAACAAAAACATGAACAAAAAACATCTTAAAGTGAATATGTGACTAAGTGCAAACAGAAAATCCAAGAAAAGACAGCAAAATATTGCAGAAAAAAACACCGTACACCAACGCTGTGTACAAAAATCCCAGTGGGATGCAAGTCAAACAACAACAACAACAACCATAAGACAACTTAGATTAAGGCTGCGCTCCGAACCCCGGTCGAGCCAATATCTATTCCCGCACACGATCAACGACAGCGGCAGCGAATATGTGAACAGGTTTCCGGGAACATGCCCCAGGCTCGGCCTCGAATTGTGTACCTTGGTGCGCTGTGTACTGGGGAGACAAAGGCGGCCAGCAATGGTGTTGGCCTCCCACCGCTCTCGTGCGCCACGCCGGCCATCATAGGCGGTTCGCGAACAGCACTTGACCCAACAGTCTGTGAAAGGCTACACGGGGGGGGGGGGGGGGGGGATCTTTGTATTTGTTACTGTGGGAGCAGCGGTAGGCAGTGGTTAGGTCCCCCCGCGCTATCAACCCGGCGACCTCGGTTCGACTCCCGGACATGGGCAACATCGGTGTCGAGCGACATCTGAAACCTGAACTAGTATCTCTTCATTCTAGATTTGAAGCTTTCGTGACTGCAGGGATTCATATTTTTGGTTCTTTCGGCGAAGTCACGTAGAAGGGAAGTAAAAATATAATAAAAATAAAACATAATAAAATAATTCTCAAGACGTTTCGACGTGCCGCGACTCTAAGCTTAAATATACGCTCCAAGCGTGGTGGTGTTTCATTCAGACGCTGTCTGCCCGACAGACCTGGTCTTCACCCGAGGACGGCTGCTTGCGTTGTGGCCGAAACGTCGTGAGAATTATTTTATTATGTTTTATTTTTATTATTTTATTATTTCCCTTCTACGTGACTTTACCGAAAGAACCAAGAAGGAGTATCTCTTAATTCTAGATTTGAAGCTTTCGTGACTGCGAGGATTCATTCTCTTAGGTTTTTTTCGGTAAAGTCACGTAGGTAAAAATAAATAATAAAACTAAATAATAAAATGATAGAAATAATAATAATAGAAATAAAAATAACAAATCACGACGTTTCGGGCGCAACACAAGCGTCCGTCATCAGGTGGGACAACCACAGCAAGAAACAATTGCTGAAGTGGGCTAAAGTGACTATCTCTTAACCACTTTTCCTTTTTTTCTTTGTCGCTCGTTGCTGTTGCTGGTGTGCCGCGTTGTTGCAGGGTACTGACGGGGAACCCCTTCCAGTGCTCGTGCGCCCTGCGCTGGCTGCAGCACATGCAGAGGGCGAACAGGGCCGGCCTGGCGCGCCAACGACTCACGTGCTGGGCGCCCGACCGCAACATCACCGTCCGCCTCGTCGACATGCAGATCAACTACTGCCGTGAGACAGGGCCAGCTCGTTACGTGGCGGTGGGGGGGGGGGGGGGGGAGGAGGGGGGGGGGCCCTACTAGGCTCGGCGTGTAGTGGTTATTTAATTTTTGTCGTTGTTTGGCCACGCCACGCGCTTTTTTCAGACGTGCGTTCTGCGGCCGTCTGGAACGTTCTTCCGTCCGTGCTGTTAGCGAGTAGCGCCTATGAAGGCCGGTGAGTGGCCAGCACCATGCCCGGCTGCCTTTGTCTGCCGCCCAGTGGGCATGTTTATACACCGAATCTGGTACTCATTTGAGGCTGAGTCGACCTAGGGGAGGCCCAAGACCGGCCCAGATCATCGTCACCGGTGCTGGCCATGAGCGGGAATCGGTTCGTAGCGGCTTATGGCTCGCCATCGAAGAAAGACGGTCGCTTTTTTCAGACGCACCTTCTGCGGCCGATATCAGGAAGCCATTGGAGCTGTGCACTTTTAAATCATCGAGATCGAAAGCTAATTTCTTTACAACTGCTTTTTGTTTGCTGAGTTTGTTGTCCTTCCCCCGCACCTCTGATTTGCACGGTTGGCTGCGTTCAACATACATGCAACATACGTACATGTCCGAATGTAAATAACTGGTGGCGTCAGCTGCACCGCCTCGCTCATCCACCGTAAGCGGCACTCATAGGTGCTCGCTAACAGCATTCGCCCCAACAGTTTTTGGGGCTACGAGGAGGGATCTGCCATTGTATTTGCTGGTACACACACAAGCCAGATTGCGCACGCGCACACACGCGCGCGCATGAACTTACAAGCGGTCAAGCGTGCCAGGCGTGCGTACACACAGCCCCGGCCTGCTGTTGGAAGAAGAAGTGGAATGAGATTCAAAGTCACAGTCTCGTTCATGCAAGCGCCACGAGCTTAGGTGATGTCCACCCCTTCAGTTGACCTTGGGAAAAATCCACCAATAAACGCACCACCCCCCGCTAGGCTGGCGTCACAACTCTGCCGCTCTTCGGCGTGCCCTCTGGGTTGTGCCCGCGCGCTCGTCGCCACGAGGGTCCGACGTTCCGCTTCACGCGCCGAACTCCTGAAGAAGCTCCCGGGGCGCGTGGAACGAAACGTCGGGCGCCGCGCCGGGACAGCACGAGGCACGAGCTGTACAACGTGTTGGGCTGCCATAGGCAAAGGTCTGCTGGATAGCCTCCGTAGACTGCTGGGACAAGCGCGGTTAGTGAGAGCGGCCTGCCGATGCTGGCGTGATGATAACAACACCGCACGCCCGGCCACTTTTGCCACACCGAGTTGCGATATTTTCACGCTGCATCGGGTACCCCCCTTTTCAAGGCTTGGTCGCACTAGGGGAAGGCCCGCCCGGGGACCGGTTCGAATTATCACTCGCTCGCTCGCCGCGGACGACATCGGCCGCCATCGGGGAGATCGGAGTCGGGGCCCCGTCGGCTTTCTTTGTCCGGCGGCGTATTTAACGGGCAGCGCTCGATTCCAGAACTGCCGGAGGTGAAGTTGGACCGAGAGACGGTGGTGGCGCGGGAGGGCGACGCCGTGTCGGTCACGTGCAACGTGTCGGGACACCCGGCTCCCGTCGTCAGCTGGGACACTCTGGACATCTCCTCCGCGCAGGTGCCGCAGGTAAATTGCTTCCACCTGAACGATTTTATTTCGGAGTCTTGTGATGAACTAAAAAAAAAATCTATCGCCAGGCCAATCTCTGACACGCTTCGGAGATTCACTCGCTCGGCAAGATTTCCAAACGGATTATCATGCCAACGGCGCCGATAAGCAAAGTTCAAAGTTCAAAGTTAATTTATTAGGTATAGCCCTGTGAGCCATTCGGCTCTTGAATCGGGTGCAACCGCAACAAACAAAAAACAAAAACATGAACAAGAAAACATCTTAAAGTGACTATGTGCAAACAGAAAATCCAAGAAAAGACAGCAAAATATTGCCGAAAAAATCACCAGTACACCAACCCTGTGCAAATATCCCAGTGGGATGCAAGTCAAACAACAACAACCACAAGACAACGACGTTTGAAACGAATTCGGGAAGAGAGAAGACATTTTTTTTCGATTTGACTAAAAATGTTACGCGTGTATATAATTTCTTTTTATTAAGTAAAAATGTGCTCCAACGTTCGAGCAAGCCTAAGTGTTCTATAATTTTCGTAAATGTAAAATTTCCTAACTGTTAATTTTCCTAAGTGTTCATTTTGATAATGATACCGTAATTATAATGTGAGTATGATTATGATGTATAATATAATTTAATTATAATTGAATATCTATATACGTACAATTAAATTATGATTTTTTTAAAATAATTATAACTTTTTATGAGCCTGAGTGTTCTGTAATTGTATTCACGCGCACACACACCGAGCGCACGCACGCGCGAGAATGCCCTAAAAAGGGAAAACCCATTCTTGCGGAGGGAGCTGGTAGGAACGTTGGGTTGCTCGGTCAATGGCCTGCAGGGTCAACGGCGGCGTGGTGTATTCCGCAAATATGCCCGACTGTGAGGGCGGGCACAAGCCGGCGTGAGTAGGTTAAACGTTGAGTTTCATAAGGGCACCACGGGGTGACCAGCCCCTCCCCACCCAGCCCCACCCCTCCCACCCCCACCCAGCCCCTCCCCACCTTCCCCACCCAGCCCCTCCCCACCCAGCCCCTCCCCACCCTCCCCTCCCCACCCAGCCCCACCCTCCCCACCCAGCCCCGCCCCACCCTTCCCTCCCCACCCAGCCCCTCCATCCCCACCCAGCCCCTCCCTGCACGATGGACGGACGGACACAATATTCCCCTGTGGGCTGGTGTAACCAGGAGGTTCCTACCAGTAAAAGAAAGAGACTTAATGCGACGTTGTGTGTGCTTTTTTTCTTCATTCTGTTTTGAAGCCAACACGAAATGGTCAACTGAATGCATCGGAGTCATTCTCCACTGCGGAGGTAGAGTTGTTGTGGAAATAAGTGTGGGGAGCGCGGGGGGACGGGGGGGGGGGGCGTAGAGTCCAATAGGGGCATCCTTTGTGCCGTTGTGAAAATGACAATGGTCGTGCACGATCACGGACATATATTGGGGAAGTTAAAAGCTCGGGCGAGATAGAGGGAGGGGGGGAAACCACTCTACTTTGGCGAAACTGAAAACTTTTCCGCTTTGTAAGACAAGAAAATAAAACGCGTTTCTTTTTTTGTTTGGGTGGTGAGGGGGGGGGGGACACCTTAAAGTGCGGTAGATCTTGCGCGTTGCTGCAACAGCGTTCCGTGCACATTCAGGAATGAAATCATGAACAGAAGACAACACTACCCCCAGCGAACGCAGCGGCGGCGAAAACGTGACCACGTCTCCAGATGAAGGGGTCATCTTGAAGCGCGAAGCATGGCTGGGATTCACGTTTTCGGTTTTTTTTCGCCCACGTGGACTCTGTTGTGCGCGCATGTTATCCTTATGAGTGGACCCATTATCTGAGCCGTGACCTCTGTTCCTTACCTAGGTTATTAACTTACCTGTTTGAGTCGAGAGAGTTTTTTTTAAAATAACATTGTATCGCCTGTTGTCAAGCCACTGTGGGATGATTGTTTAGTTTTTAGTTTGTTCTTCCGCCCGCAACCTCCAGTTAGGATGATTGGCTACGTATGGCGAAAAATTACAAGGCCTCCCCATGCCATGAGTCATGAGAGTCGTCTGACCATAGTTCACCAACGACGGTGGCCAGTGCGCGGTTCGATGAAGGTGACGTAATGGGGTTGGGTGGCGTGGTGGGAGGGAGATTCAGATATCTCTCCCCCACCGATGTTAGCTATGGCATAGAAACCAAACTCAGGTCACCGGGTTCATAGCGCGGTGCTCCACTCCACTGCGCCGCCACTCCTACACCCGCTGCACGCCCATCCTGCACGCGTATCGCGTGTCAGCCACAGACAAGATATTGACCAACGCAATCGGCGGACTTCACGTACGTGCATGTACGGACGCACTGAACTTCTTTCGCACCGTATGTAGCCGCCCGTGCTGATCGGAGATGCGGGGGAAGGATTGCGGGTGCCCGTGCCCATCACGTCATTTCCACCCGCACCTCTGATGAGCACATTTGTCTACGTAGGGTGTGAAAGAAGTTAATCGTATATGCGGTGACTCGTGAAGCTGGGAGCGTGCGTGTGTTCACGATGCGTGGCCCCCCGTTTGTCGCCCCAGGTCGACTTGTTGTCAGAGTCGGTTACTGCCCTGCGCCTCTTCAACATCTCGTGGGAGGACAACGACAAGATCGTGTCGTGTGTGGCGGAGAACATCGTGGGACAGACCCAGGCCTCCGTGTACCTCAACGTGCAATGTACGTATCCCCCGGGTGCACGATGGGCAGCGTGCGGACAGCCCGCTTCTACATCAGCACTCGATGAATGATGGAGCAGACAATATGCTACGCCCGTCTCTCCTACATGAAAAAATATATATAAGTTTTGAGATACCTTTGTGTTTTGACACGATATGAAATCAAAGTGTACGATTTAACGGTGGTTCTGAACATGCGGGCAGCATTTTTTATAATGCCCTGGCATAAAACGACAAACGAATATCAGAGATATTTGGATCAGCATATGTACTACTTTTTTGCAAGCTGTTAGTGTAGTGTTTAGCTCGCTTCGCTATGTACTTGGTGAACTGCATTAGAGCCCTAATCATGGCTCTAACATGTATGTATATATGCATGTTGAAAATGTTTCGCACCCAGCATCGCACCATGCTAATCGGAGGTGCGTGGGGAAGGACAACAATCTAAACACAACAACAAGCAGTTCTAAAGAAATTCGTTCTTCGCAATGTCGATGCTTTCAAAGTGCATAGCTCCAGTGTCTTCCTGATATCGGAAGGAAGAGCGTTCCAGACGACCGCAGAAGCGCATCTGAAAGCGCGCGATGTGGTCACCGTCTTTGTTCGGTGGTTAGCGAAACGCTGCTGAGAGGACGACCGGAGTTTGCGTGATGGTTTTTTTTTTGCTTCTTGACGTATTTCCTCGTTATTCACAAACTTGCTCTCCGCAATCGTGGCTATCTGTCAATCGCACCTGGAACTTTACGCGATTGCATCGAGAGAGAGACAGAGAAAGTGATTGATGAAAGGATGAGAGATCAAGTGATGAGATAAAGTGGTGATGAAAGAGAATGTAATGGGAGAAAGTGATGAGATTAAGTGATAATATAAAGTCATGGGATTATCTTCACGTATTTAATAGCTTATTTACGTATTTATTTAATGCAATTCCAAACAAAAGATAATTAATCCGCGAAATTTGCAATCCATGAGCATCTGTGGAACGTATGCCACGCGAATAGCAAGAGAATAATAATTCCATCGGCCGCACGGCCTTACGCAATATTTTTATATTATTTCAGAAGCATTGGTTTAATACAAGCAACTCTAGACCGGTTTTTACATTTAGTGTCTCATGAGGCTTGCTTAAACAAATGCTGGCGAACTGTAATATATATCGGCTGGGGAGTGGTGGTGTATCGGTTAGCACGCTGTGCTACGAATCCCCAATTACCCGAGATCAAATCCTGCTCACGGCCAACACCAGGGACGATTATCTGAACCGGCCCTGGGCCTCCCCTAGGTCGACTCAGCCTCAAATGAGTACCTGGTACGGTCTGTAAACATTGCCACTCGGGAGACAAAGGCGGTGGTGCTGGCCACCCACCCCCTCGTGTGCCATGCCGGTCTTCATAGGTGCTCGCTAACAGCACTTGCCCCAACAGTCTGTTCAGGCTATACTGGGAATATTTGTCTTTGTATATAGGCAACACACTTTCTCTGTTAGATGGGGGTCCTAGTTCGCGTAAAAAAGTATAATATACATTAATAATAATTTAAAAAATTAGTGCGTAGATACAATTATGGGAAGGAGGTGCATTTCCCACTTATTTTGTTACATATGCAGCGTTCTCCACAACGACACTATTGATTACTCCCTACAAAGCTTAAGGTCACTCTTTCAAGATTAATGGCCTGTAACTCAGTTCCAGGAGACACTTTTGTTGCTCGAAAACGAGTCTGCTGGGTTTTTTTCCGGCGGGGTTATAACAATTCATCCCCACTCCTCCGATTCCGGCGATGCGATTAATTTGTCACGACTCCGTGGGGCCGTGTGATTTGATTAAATAATCGATATTGGTTTTGTATCTTTTTTTGGCCGGCCAGTTTGTGTCCCGTTTATTTTTCATTTTCGTCTCGCTCGCACATTTCTGTCCGAGCCATTGGCGTAACTGTAATGACGACGTATCATTTTCATGAACCACAACAAATATATTTGTACATACACGCGAAATTGATTCCGTGAATCATCAGCCAAAATAATCTAAATTATTAGACATGTCGATGAATACTGAAACCCTAACTTTTTTTTGTAATCACATCCTTTGACAAGGCTTCTCTCATATTCTTGGTTCTTTCAGTAAAGTCACGTAGAAGGGAAAAAAACAATAAAATTATCACGACGTTTCGACTGAAACACAAGCAATCATCATCAGGTGTGAAATCCACAGCAAGTCATTTTCTTGCTGTAGAAGGGAAATTATAAAATGTTTTTCTTGCCGTGGATTTCACACCTTGATGATGATTGCTTGTGTTGCAGTCGAAACGTCGTGATAATTTTTATTATTTAATATTTTTATTATTTTATTTTATTTCCCTTCTACGTGACTTTACCAAAAGACCCAAGAATATGAATCCCTGCAGTCACGAAAGCTTTACATCAAAATTTAAGGCTTCTCTCGTTTTTACTATGATTTTAATCGATTCCTGTCTGGTTGAAGAAAACATATCTGCAGAAAATTGTAAACAGCCTCTAAGATGATGTCTTTTTAGTGAGAAAAAATAACAACAATGATTTGTTTTGATGTGGCACAAGATGTCTTAGCAGCTGGCCTGCAAGCGGGCATTAGTCTGCCAGTAGGGGGCGATCACCGCTGCTGTGTGATCTAGTCTAGGGGCACCCCCAGTGTCAGCTGTCCCTGTGCATTCGTCTGCCAGTATGGGCGATCACCGCTGCTGTGTGGTCTAGTTCAAGTTCAAGTTCATTTATTAGGTATAGCCCTGTGAGCCATTCGGCTCTTGAATCGGGTGCAAGCGCAACAAACAAAAAACAAAAACATGAACAAAAAAACATCTTAAAGTGAATATGTGACTGAGTGCAAGCAGAAAATCCAAGAAAAGACAGCAACATATTGCAGAAAAAAACACCGTACACCAACGCTGTGTGCAAAAATCCCATTGGGATGCAAGTCAAACAACCAACAACAACCACAAGACAACTTAGATTAAGGCCATCAGTCTAACTCTGTACTACAACAACACAAACATGGCCAAACCAATACACTTTTCGAAATCACCAAAATAAAACCAATGAAACAGTAATCATAGGAACTGTGACGGAATTTTCTAGTCTAGGGGCACCCTCAGTGTCAGCTGTCCCTGTGCATTAGTCTGCCAGTAAGGGGCGATCACTGCTGCTGTTTGTGTATAATCCCAATTGAGCAATGTTCGGGCAAATAAGAAGAGGTTTTTCCCTTTCTGCCACTAAAACAGGAGATGTTAAGATTATCGAACACCAAATAAATACTCTTAGGTTTTTTTCGGTAAAGTCACGTAGGAAAAAAATGAAATTAAAATTAATAAAAGTAATAATAGAAATAAAATAAAATAATATAATATGAAATAATATTTCTAAATAAAATAATATTTCTATTATTACTTTTATTATTTTTATTTTTATTTTTTTACCTACGTGACTTTACCGAAAAAACCTAAGAGTATGAATCCTTGCAATCACGATAGCTTCAAATCTAGAACCAAATAGTAGTAGGTTTTTACCCTTTTAAACTGGTACAAAACTGACACCTTTATTCAAGGCAGTTTTGTACCAGTTTAAAAGGGTAAAAACCTACTACTATATTTTGCCACTGGTAAAAGAGATCTCATAGTTGAACCAAATAGATAACTTTTTGCAAGGAATCAAAGTCTACATTAACCACACGTACTTGTGGTAGACGTGATACCTTGCAAAGGTATCTATTTGGTCTTTGAACATGGTAACACCTCCTGTTAATTTTTGCCAGAAACAATATTTTTTGTTGATACTGGCAACAACAACAACAAAAAAGTATCGTATAGATATTCGGGTAACTCTTCAAATTTTGGGGGGAATTTGAAGAGTGAAGCCGGCAAGCAACGGATCGACGTTCACCAAGGAGCGGGCTGCACGCGGTGACATTTTTTGCGGTTAACACAAACCACGGTTAAATTTCGATTTAAAGCTTTGCAGGGATTCATCTTCTTGGTTCTTTCGGTAAAGTCACGTAGAAGGGAAATAATAAAATAATAAAAATAAAACATAATAAAATAATTCTCACGACGTTTCGGCCACAACGCAAGCAGCCGTCCTCAGGTGAAGAACAGGTCTGTCGGGAAGACAGCAACGTCGTGAGAATTATTTTATTATGTTTTATTTTTATTATTTTATTATTTCCCTTCTACGTGACTTTACCGAAAGAACCAAGAAGACAAACCACGGTAACAACCAGGGCAAGCACTCCGGAATGGAACCCGCAAACCTCGGCAAAAACAAACCACCGCTGTGCCGTTGTTGTCACCACGGCACGGTATACAAAGAACGTACTGAAACTACACGAGTCGGTCAATGGAAGGAGAATCAAACAGTATTATTTGGCCGCCAGCCACACGGTACACTCTTTAAATGAACCCCTTGGAACGTGGCGAGCCGCTACCACACTCCAGTCGCCGTGAATATTGGCCCACATCAAAAACGAAAACAAAGAGTGGCCCTCCCACGTTTGTGAATTGATTGGAGTCGAGCAGCAGCTGCTGCGCGCCCCTAAACGTGCTTGGCCTGCCACCTGAAACGCTCTTAGGAAACACGGAGTCTCCGATACACGGAGTCTCGGATGCACGTCAACACAGCATCGCTGTTGCGTGATCCTGCAGGTGCTGGAGAGGAGTCTTTAGTTATTCCCTCCCACCCCCCGCTCTGCTTTCAATATTTTAGTTGTTGTTGCCGTCGTTGTTACTTTTTCGTTTACTTTACTTTTTGCCCGTCGATTCCGTCATACGTTCTTTATATTCGTGAGCACCCTTCAAAAAATGGCATGTGAGTGCAATGGTTGCGCTTCGGTCTAGATTCGAAGCTTTCGTGACTGCAAGGATTCATATTCTTAGGTTTTTTCGGTAAAGTCACGTCGGTAAAACATGAAAATTTAGAAAAGTAACATAGGCAAAACATTAAAATTAATAAAAGTAACATAAAATAAAAATCACGAC